AACCAGCAATATGAACTTTACCGTAAATTCGCTGCTTAAAAAGTGCGGAAGTAATGTTCTCGCTTCACGTGCCACAGTAAGGTAATCGAGTGAAACTCTTTGCTTTCTGTGTGACTCCACCATTAAATGTTTCAAATTAGCCTTGTTTCTAAGTAACTGGAACGTTTTCACTTCCCAGAATTGTTAATTTTTCGCCCGAGTGATTTAAAAATGAACTGTCAAGCCCTTCTGTAAAACTTCTCTCTGCAACTTGTACGACCTGTCAGCGTTTCTAACTACAATTACGCACCTCATTAAGTATGAAATTTAGCAACTTCTGTAAGAACGATCCTAATATCATAATACTTAAACTATCCATAATTTGGGGGAATATAAATATTTAGGGTGGAAATAAAATTAATTTAAAAACCTGAAATAGATTACGCCCAAATAAAGCTTGACCTTATATTTCTGAGTTCTTAAACACAAAAACGTAACGACAGGACAAAAGCTCTTCTCACATCAACTATAAACACAACGCCATTTTTAAGTCTCCTGCGTCAGGAATCAATTTTATTATTATAACCGACAAACCGACGATCTGAAACAAGGAAAGAAGATGAAGTTCCAGGAATTAAAACGAGAAGCTGAGAATAGGGAAAGTTGGAGAACTCTTTTTGGGCAGAGCAATGGACCTGTCGTCAGACAGAACACTGAATAAAATAAATAGAGCAATGGACCTGTCGTCAGACAGAACACTGAATAAAATAAATAAATTCACTGGCTCCTAAGAAACAAATAATTTAAATACAATCTCATTACAGTATAACTCGATCTCAACATATGCCTAAAATAAGAATACACCAAATATCACAGATAGGTTGACGACGTTATTCTTCTGGATCCATCTTCAGCCCTGAAGATGGAGACAGTATGTTTCTCCGAAGCCTTAGTATCTATCTATGAATCTACACGGCGAAATAACCAAGAAGAACATCGTTATCGTCACCGATGCGTGAATCTCTTATATACAAACGACAGGTCGAGTTACGAGGAAATAAATATGTTTTGTAAGATTTGAGGTTTTCACAGTGGTGAGTATGAAGATTTCTGTCTTCTGGGTTGTTGAGCTGTGTAGTATGGTCGATGTTTAACAACGTTTCAGAGGTCATGCTGCCTCCGTCATCAGGGCGGTGAGTATGAAGATTTCTGTCTTCTGGGTTGTTGAGCTGTGTAGTATGGTCGATGTTTAACAACGTTTCAGAGGTCATGCTGCCTCCGTCATCAGGGCGGTGAGTATGAAGATTTCTGTCTTCTGGGTTGTTGAGCTGTGTAGTATGGTCGATGTTTAACAACGTTTCAGAGGTCATGCTGTCTCCGTCATCAGGGCGGTGAGTATGAAGATTTCTGTCTTCTGGGTTGTTG